AATAAAAATTACAATAATAATAATAATAAATAAATAATAATACTAACAATAATAATAATAAATAATAATAACAATAATAATGACGTTTCATCGTCGTTTTCTCGGCTACCCCGTAAGCTCTAATATTCGATTGGTCACGTCTGGCTCGCGACGACAGCCCGCGTCCGCGCGTCACTAACGACGAGGTCACGTAAAGGTCACGTAAAGGTCACGCGGACGGGTCGCCGCTGACGTCTGCAGGGAGGTAGGCAGACGCGTCCGGCATGGCGAGAGATGTTCGTATCTGATGGCTGAAGCCTTGAATGTCACGGCGGCTCACGCACGCACGCACGCACGCACACGCACGAACACGCACGCACGCACGCACATACACACAGGAACGCGATAGATNCATGCACAAGCGAGCGTGCGTGTGCACATGTGCAAGCGAGCGTGCGTGCGTACATGTACAAGCGAGCGTGCGTGTGTACATATACAAGCGAGCGTGCGTGCGTACATGTACAAGCGAGCGTGCGGGTAGACATGTACAAGCGAGCGTGCGTGTGTACATGTACAAGCGAGCGTGCATGCGTACATGTACAAGCGAGCGTGCGTGTGTACATGTACAAGCGAGAGTGCGTGTGTACATGTACATGTACTAGCGAGCGTGCGTGTGTACACGTACATGTAAACGCGAGCGTGCGTGTGTACATGTAGATATACAAGGGGTAACACCCCAGTTGGCCTACTCCCATTTTGCCTACACCAATTTAGCCCATTTCGTCTACTCTCAGAATCGGCAATATTCCCATTTCGCCTACTCCCGTTTCGTCTACTCTCAGAATAAGTAATATAACAGTGTCAATTTGTGTTCTCATTATTTGTATGTATGTTTTCTTCTAGTTGCTGTAGTCTATGTATGCCAATCAAAACCATATTTTATTATTCATAAATGATTATTTAGTGAACAAACCGATCGTAGACGAAATGGGAATGGGGTAGATTTTGAGCGTAGACCGATTGGGAGTAGGCGAAATGGGTGTAGGTCAACTGGGAATTTTGCTGTAGGCGAAATGGGAATTTTGCCGTAGGCCAGCCGGGAATATACCTCTCCCACATCTCACAGTTGCTGTGCATTGATTGTTTAATTCGCATTGTTCGCTTGATTGTTCGCTTGATTGTTCGCTTGGACGCATTGTTCGTTTTTACAACTAGCATCTCGCAGCTCGCACAGCATAGAGAGGCGTGTTCTATTGTCCCTGCATCTTCCCACTGGCCCTCTCTCCCTCTACCCACTATTATTCTCGTGGTCTTCCTCTTCTCTTCTTTTCTACCGTTGTCTGGTCAGTGAGAGAGAGAGCGAGAGAGAGAGAGAAGAGAGAAGGAGAGAGGGCGAAGAGAGAGAGAGGAGACAACAGAGAAGAGAGAGAGAGAGAGAAAGGAGAGAGAGAGAGAGAGAGAAAGAGAGAGAGAGGAGAGAGAGAGAGAGAGAGAAGAGAAAGAGAGAAAGAGAGAGAGAGAGAGAGAGAGAGAGAGAGTAAGCGAGAAAGAGAGAGAGGGAGAAACAAGAAGAAACAGCGCAGAGGAGAGAAAAAGAGAGAGAGAGAGATGAGAGGGCGGCGTGAGAAGAGGAGAGCGAGGAGAGAGAGAGAAGAGTAAGCGAGAAGAGAGTATGAGAGAAACAGAGACAGAGGAAGAAGAGGGAGAGATGAAAGAGAAGAGAGAGAGAGAGAGAGAGAGAAGCGAGAAGAGAGAAGGTGAATAGGGCGAAAGAGAGAGGAAAGGTGAGAAGGTGGCTATGATTGTTTGGCGGCTTTGCTACATAATTAAGTGAGGGGGGGCGGCAAGCAAGCAGTAGCAATCAACAGCAGTAGTAACCACCAGCAGCAGCAGTAAAGTACCCGCAGGCAGCAGCCAGCACCAGCAGCAGGCAGCATGCACCACCACCAAGCGAGGCCGCACCACCACCACCACCAGCAGCAGGCACAGCAAGTAGCAGCAGCCAGGCAAGCAGCACCACCACCAGCAACAGCAGCAGCAGCAGGGCAGCACCAACGACACCACCACCACACCACCACCACAACCAGCACGCAGACCACTACCACCACCACAACACAGCCACCACCAGCCACCAGCAGCAGCACCACCACCACGCAGCAGCAGGGCCAAACAGCAGCAGCCGCAGCATAACAGCACCAGTATGCAGGGCAGCAGCAGGAACCACCACCAAACCACCACCACCACGACTTGACCACCAATCTCCAAGCAGAACCGCAGCAGCAGCAGCAGGGCGCTTCCGGTCAATAATGGAACACTGTGTTGAGATTACTATTTGCGTCATATACACATAACCGAATAACCTGATAACAGCCCCGGGTTGGGAGCTACCTGAGTAACAGACCTGCCGCTCGCTCAAGCCGCGGACGATAGCGCGCGCAGTATTGGTGGGAGCGGGCCTGATTGTGGGAGAGAGGGGGGCGGGGCGTTGCAGGAATGTGGCAGGCGGGTTAACGGCAGATAG